AGAGAAAGAGAAAGAGAAAATGCGCGGATGGCCGTGTGCACGCGGTATTATTTACGGTGGAACTTGCAAAGTGAGAAAAATTACGTTGGCTCGGCCGGTTTCGCCGAGACAACGGTGTGCTTTATGCCGAGTCCGTACTCTGCGGTCTCCAACGAACGAGAAAAGGAAAAAGAGTTGGAGGTTGATGATGTTTACGAGTTTTTATCCGTACTCCGCAACATCCCTCTAGTTTGCACCCTGCTACTACCCTGGTGGTCCCTTTTTTTTTCTTTACTCGCGATCTTTCTCTCTCTCTCTCTCTCTCTTACACTTTCTTTCTTTCTTTCTTTCTCTTATACTCTTAACAGCTTTCACAATGAAACTCGCTAAACCGTGATCGCTTACAGCTTTACGGAAAACGCATACCTGGAATTCTTATATTCTCAAGCAATGTTACCATATCACAGATATTTTTAATTCACCGACCTCATAGATTGTTCTTATGGCGGACACAACGAGATATATAGTTCCATAATTCTTAACTCTCAAGATTTGACCTTACCCATGTAGTAATCTGGATTATGAAAAGCTTGAAAAATGCTATCACCGTAGTAGTTTATCGATTTCTGCGAAAATCTACCTAACGAATGATGTAAACTTAAGGGTTTATACAGTATTTATTCTCGTTGAGAAGAAGAAAGAGAGAGAGAGAGAGAGAGAGAGATTAATTTCTTATATATTCAAGTCATGCTGCATTCAAGAGTGGGAGAGTGGAAAGGGTGAGTTTTTAGTGAGTGGAAGAGAGAGAGAGAGAGAGATAGAGGAAGAGAAGTCGTATTTTCCAACAAGAAAATGTGAAAAACAAGAAGAGAAGATAGAAAGAAGTTGATACATCCGGTTGGTTAACTGGAGCACGTAGAGATCGATGGATCCGGTAATTCGAGTCGGATCTTTCTCGTTCGTGCCAAAATTTTCGGGAGTTACTGTTATAAGAAGAAAAAGGATAAAACGCGAGCATGCCGAGCGCGTTTTGGCTATTAAAGCGTCGTTAGCATCGATTAGCTTCGCGAAGCTCGCGATTCAGCTAGAATTTTCTTTTCCCATGCTTTTTCCGTCTCGACGCAAATCGGACGAACGTCGAGTTATCATGCTTTTTTTTCTTCTTCTTTCTTTTTCTCCTTCTCCCCTCCATATCCCATCTCTCTCCTTTCTCTTTCTGTTTCTTTGTTTCTCTTTTTCTGACAAAATGTTACGAAAAAATTACGACAACGTTCGCTAAGTCGGACACGGAATAAAGTTTCTCTACGCACACAATTCGCACGTCAACATTGAAAACAAATCGAAAATCGATTTCTAAGACATGTATATGTACTATTATATATGTACATAGAGACACGTTGGTATCTCGCTTTTTCTTCTTCTTATTTTTCTTTTTTCCTTTACTATTTCTTGGAAAAAAGGAATAGAAGAAAAATCCCGCCCGACTCTTACGCGTAACGCTGTAACGATTTTCCACGAGAAAAAGTCAACTTTTTCAAGACGCCGTCGACTATGCTCCACTTTCCAAGACGACGCGACACGATGAAAAGAAAATACCGGACGTCCTTCGTGCTATTCGCCCTCTCGATTATACCTCCCTCTTCCTCCCTCCAACTCCTTTACTCTCTCCTCTTTTCCTCTCTTTTCCTCCCATCCCAATTCCCCTTATTCTCCAACCCTTCCTCCGTTTCTTTTTTATTTTCCTTTTTTCTGCCACTTCTCCTTATTCTTCTTCCTCTTATTCTTATTCTTCTTCTTCTTCTTCTTCTTCTTTTTATTTTACTTCCTCTTCCTTCTCTACTACCTTCATTTCGTATTTCGTCGAAAGCTCTTAAGGGAATTCCGCTTTACTGGTCTATTAAGCTGAGTGGTGATATTCGGTTCTCTTCTATTCCCCTCCTAAACCACCAAGATCCTTAAGACCATTTCTGCCATCGTCGTATATCGATGCCCTATACGCGGCGATCATTATCTAACAACTTCTTAAACATTTCATTGACCGTATCAGATAAGTCCAAAGAGGAGTCTAGGAGGAAATATTTGGAGAAGTTATCACTACCCTAATAATTTTTTTCTTCCTTTTCTTTTTTCCTTTTATTTTTCTTTTTCTTTTCTTTTTAAATTTTCCTCAAGAAACGTATTACGTACGACATTGTTTCGTAAAACAAGTAATAGTGAGTGAGAGAAAGAGAGGGTTTTAATTATTTGCGAAATTATTATGAATTAAAATGTGTCAGATGAAGATAGATAAAACTATGAACGTGTAACATAACTTTGAAATTATATACGTACTTATTTATAAATTTTGTCTTATTTCATTACTTGGTGAAAAAAAAAAGAAGAAAAAAAAAAAAATTAAAAACGTTGATAATCTAATCTCTCATCGTATTATACTTGAAATATTATACTTTATACTATGTTATTATTAATCATATAAGAGCGTTTTTTTGCGTGTTATTTCCTTATTTCTCTTATACCATTTGTCCATATTTTTAATCCACATGAAATTTCTTATAATTGTGCCTTATGATCAAACGATAAATTATAGATTATTTAAATTGCTCTGATACAATAAGTTTTACAACAGACATTAGAAGAAGTCTTTGAACAAATGAAAAAGAGAGAGAGATATGCATAACCGAAAGATATTGATTGAATGATTTGTGATTTGTGCTCCGTGTTCCATGTTCTTCGTTCCGGAACATGTGTTCCCTGTTCCTTGTTCTATATTTGGTATTCTGTGTTCCGTGTTCCTTGTTCCAGAACACGTGTTATATGTTCTGTCTTCCGTGTAAATTCGTAGCTCGTCGACGTCGTACGTTTTGCTTTCCTTAACGCGATTACATTTGGATTCATGTGAAAAGACGCGAAAGGATACGAAAGGACACAGAAATTCGCGTGCTTTTACCCAAATGGACCGGTCGTTTGTGAAAAAGGGGTAGAAATAGAAAGAGAAAGGGAGGAAGAGAAGAAGGAAGCGAATATCGCAGTACGTAGTTAGTCGTGCAAAGGGAGGCCCCGGTAATTTGTATTCGTTTGTTCCTGAACGAATTTGCCCGAGATACGTCTTTTAGTTTTGCTTTTCACGTTATTGCTGAAACCCGAGTAACTTGGAAAGCGAAGTAAACTGATACGTTTTAAAATAATTTAACGAAAAGCAAATGGCAAATATACGTTTAATTTTAGTTTACATTACGACGATAATTTTCAAAGTGAACAAATTTCTTTCGAAACTATGAGTTCCCGTGTCTAAACAAGTTTTCTTGGCGATATCCTTTTTAAAAGTTAATTGCGACGTCGCATATATATATAAATATATCGCTGTATTTTTCGTATTCAGTGATGATATGAATGAATGATAATAAAGATGATGATGATGATGATAATACATAATATAGTACCTAATATAACTATTGTTATTATTAGCATTATCATGATAGTGTAATAGCGTGTGTAGAAGGAAATTGAATGAAACGTAACACGCCCTTTAAAGTATATTTATAACGTAATAACGATCGTTAATTAGCTGAGTAAGTTCCATGACATTCGTCATGCATACGTAAATATGCAATTTTCAAGTAATTACTCGTACGTTGAAAAAAAAAATAAAGAAAAGAAAAGATAGAAGAATAAGAGAAGAAAAAAAAAAGCGAGAATGAAAACAAAAGGAGCGAAGATGCATTTGAGAATTCCTTTTCTTTTCTTTTTTTTTTTTTCAATTTTTTTCAATTCAAATAAATCAAATGATCAATGCAATCGACGGCTGAAATGATATAACACAAAATTCGGCTTCTTTATATTTATTATAATTTATTTTGTCGATCATCCGAAAGTTCTTACTTCTGGTCGAAAGTCATGGAAACGAACGTTCATGCATGTTTGTTTTTTTATAAGGAAGAACTTTTTCTACGTTACTATCTGAGATAAAACTTTTTCTTTTCACCCTCCCTCTTACTCCACGCCTCTTGGCCTCGAGAGCGTCATCCCATTCCACCATTTTCTCAATGGCTATAAGGTTAACGGCTACGAAGTCGTAGAAAAGAAATTGTTGCGAGAGGAAGGAGAAGAAGGAAGAAGAAAAAAAAAAGAAGAAAACTAAACAAAAACGATAAAAAGAAAAAAAAACGAAGAAGAAAACTGGAGAAAAAAACAAGAAAAAAAAAACAAAAAAGAAAAAACACGGGTACGTATGGAAAACTTTGCTCTTAACCACGAAACCAAGACGGCCAGTCTGAATTTATTTTCCATCTCGTTCCGGCTTTTCAATTATTTTTCTCGACGAGAAACTCGTGCGTCTTCTTTCTTTCTTTCTTTCCCTTCCTTCTTTCTTCCTTCCTTTTTTTTTTCTTTCCATACGTCATCATTTCAGCGTAAGTTAAACGTCGAGATCGTTTTCTATGCACATAAAGATATTCGTACAATGTACGTGTCATATTAAATGATACGTAGAAATTTAATATAATAAGATTTTTAAATACGTATATATATATATATATATATATATATATATATCTCACAAGCTTCAAAAATATTTAAATGATTCGAATGAAATGAAAATAATTAAACAATTATCATTCTCGAAATAATTAATAGAATCTAAATCACAAACCCCAAACAAGTTGACATTATTTATATGTGTTAATTATCAATAATCGTCAAGTTACTAATGATTCGTTGATATTAAATGGAGAATATAAAAATTGAAAAAGAAAAAAGAAGAAGACGAAGATGAAGAAAAAACAAGAGAAAGAAAAAGGAAAGAAAAATAAAGAAGAGAACAAACCGGTTGTAGACAACGTTAGGGTGATTTTCACGAGTCCGCCTGTTGGCTAGTTGCTGTGAGGATGGCGACGGCGAAAAGGCGAAGATAGGCGCTTAATTGTAAGGGTGAAACGCGTTCAAATTCCGCGGTCACGCTGGGCGGTTAAGCGTATTCCATTAACTCGAGATGCAATTAGAAATAAAGGAGGTTGCTAGAATACCTGCGATTCTCTCTTGCTCTCAACCCTGTTCTTATACGGTTGCCGTCGTCTTCTCCAACTCCCGTTTTCCAACTCCCCCTCCTCAGCCCGTGCCCACCCAGCATAGCCTTCTCCTTTCCGCCATCGTCAACATCGAGCAGCCCCAGCCCTTCCTTTACTCTCCACCAGGTCCTTTCTCTTCCACCTTTACTCCCACCCATTTTGTTCTACCCCTTCTCATCCTTTCGTTGCCTCACTGCTGGCTGGACGCCATTGTAGGAAATAGCGATGGAAAATATTCAACCGGTGCAAATTGCCTGCTCTTACCTGGAAAACGTATAAGAAGGAATCCCATTAAATCTCTCGCTCTATGCTCGTCTACAATACTCGCCGACAATTTATAATGCAAATCGAAATGCGAAAAAGAGAATGGGAAAGAAAAAGAAAGAGAGAGAGAGAGAGAGAGAGAGAGAGAGAGAGGAGGGAGGGAGACAGAGGAATAAAGAAAAAAGGATTGAGTAAAACCTTAGTGGGCAAACATAAAATTCGATATTCAATATTCGAGATGTCGGATTTATAATAAAACCAGCTGGACGGTTAAAGCGTTACACGTTTATTCCATAATCAATGATGATAACGATTTGATAAGTTTAAATGTAAAATAATTTAGATGAAATGTGTCTCATTTAATGCGAATACTGATTTCATTTTACGTCGTTATAAAATTATTTAATTTGTTTTTGCCATACACATGTATTTATGTATATAACGATAGCTTTTCCCTCTTTCCCCTTCGCCCTCTTTTTCTTTCTCTCCCTCTTTTTTTCTCTTATTCTCCTTTGTCACTCATCCTATGTACCGATGATGATAAGCTTTAACTTATCAATTATTGTCAGCTATCGATATTACCCGATTGATATCGCTAAGGTACCAACCGCGCTATGTCGAATATCGGTAGCCGAATTTCCTGGGGATGCTAATTGCTGCCACATTTGCACCGCAAGTCTCCCATTCCTGGATGGTAATCAGTATTAATTAAGAGCGCGTCACGTATTTGTCGATACTTAACTATCATATACATATGCATGTAAATATATCATAGAAATTTCTGATTCGATCCTTTATGTATTTCCTTTGATTTCGATCATTCAATCATTCGTAGACGTTAATATCTTAGATCACTTTAAAATTAGATCATTAATAATGTTGAAAGAGAAAAATCATTAAATCGTAATTATAACGATCTTATTATTTATCCTCTAAATAATATTAACTATTCTCAACGTTATTTTCATTATGTATTTAATTAACATTAAACAAATAAATAAATAAATAAATAAATAAATAAATAAATAAAAGAGAAGAAATATAAGAGGGATGATTTGAAAAGACGAAAGAAAAGTATTGCCAAATGAAAATGAGAGAAATGTTATTAAGTTTAATAAATGATCACATTAATTTTCTCAACTATTCGACAATACTTTGGGAGTTGGAGGGGGAGGTGGGAATGGGGTGAGGAGACTGAAAATCTAAGTGACGTCGCTTACGAACCACTACGGAAATTAACAGCGTCGAGTGATAATGGATACTAATTAACATCGACAGCGTGAAAAGAGTCGATGTCCGCGCAGTTGGCCTCGTCATAAAGGCCTTCCCTTGTCCTCCCATCCTTGTCCTCCCTCTTCCGTTCGGGGACCCCCGATATCTACCGAATATAATCAACTACGAACCAAACACGAAAGCATCTGTGTGCTCAGAATGCCGGCAAAATCGAAAGTAACGATATGCCGAGTAATTATTATTTTGATCGTCGAACTGTGAGGACGAGTCTGCGTTCGTGTTTCTGTCTAACAAAAGGAGGGTAGAGAGTAACGCTTGATGTTTGATCGTGCCACCCCATTTGTCTTTCGATTCTTTGCGCACGACTGCCATTATTAGAGAAATTCATGCGTTCGATGATAAAACATTTTGTACGGACTATAAAGGTAATAAAATGAAATAATTATTTATGTCAAGATACATTATTTCTATGTGAACAATTATAATATTAAATAAAAGAAATATATATATATATATATATATATATATATATATATATATATAACGATAAGTGATAATAAAGAAGGAGAGGGATAAATTTCAAAAGTATATATAATCAGATAGGAGGACACAATCGTATATAATTAAAACGCAATATTATGTACTTATAAAATACTTTGAAGATGATGTAAGATTGTTCTTGCTACATTATATATCAATGCCTACGAATCAATTGGAAAGATCTCTGTTATCGACGACGCTAGAGACAGATGTTTCTTTCTCCTCTAATTATCTTGGTAAACTTTCGAAACTCCATTGTTCGTACAACGTGTACGTACACGCTGTGCTACACGGTAGGGCGCCAAACGCGTCTCACCAGGCTTAGCCATTTGCGGAGGCCATTTGCTAGTCGGAGGGTTTATCTCTGTAGCAGAGCAAGCAGCCAGGCAACCAAGCAGGCAGGCAGGCTGGCAGACAGGCAAGCAGACAGACAGAGGCAAGCAACGAGCCTGTACATCCTGCCTTCGTACTCTGTTACATTCCTACACGCGACTCTCAACGTGTACGGATATATATATATATATGTATGTACTTATGTACGTATGTACTTATGTGCATATATACATATATATGTATACATATATGAATGTATGTATGTATGTATATACGTATTTCCGATGTATATCTGTCGTGCCACTTGCAACAGCGCGAAATTTCCTTTAATAATTCTCCGTCTGTTTGTATAACCATTTGATTTCTCACATAAGTCGTGTATTAATGATTAACTTTTCCGTAAAGTAGTATATATAGGTAGAATAAGTGCGTTCGTTTCTCTTCTTTTTTCTTTCTTCCTTTCCCTTATTTTACTTTTTCTTCCTCTTCTCCATATAATTCGTCAAAAAAAAAGAAAAGAAAGAAAAAAAAAAAAAAACAAACAAAAGAAAAGAAAAAAACTCTCACAAATAATCGATTAACAAATTTTATCTCAATTTGCATGGTGACTTTTTGGAATAATGTAAAAAAAAAAAAAAAGGAAGAAAAAAAAGAATAAGAAACAAAAGGAAAAGTGTCTCGAATTCATGAGAGAGAGAGGGAGAGAGAAAAAAAAAAAAAAAAGAAAAAACAGCAAACGCGGTTTTCGGCATTTCTAAATTAAGAGTACAGAAAGTATATATGGCGTTGCCATACGCGCGTTGCTGGCATACGTACGTATAGTACGCGAGATAGTAGAATTGGCAGGAAATTGCAAATTGCCGGCGAGTGCGCGAGAGTCGGTCGCGGCTGCTACCACTGCCCGGCACTCTTGCTGCTGTGCTCGCCATTTGGGTAGCACGAAATAACCCGACCTGCAAATTGAAACCGGTCGCTGGTAGATCCGAGGAAGGGAGTGAGAAAGAAACAGAGATAGAGAGAGAGAGAGAGAGAGAGAGAGAGAGAGGAAGGGATATAATCGGTCACGTAGACCATTCGATGACGATCGAAAATTCTCACTTGGAAAAAAAAAGAAAGAAAGAAAAAGAAAAAAAAAACACAAAGGAAAGATATTTAGAACCAAGTTCATCCCTGATCCTTTTATTTTTACTTAATTATCTCATGCAAACATTTCTTTTTTTGCTTTTGTCTTGTATCTTCTTCCGAATAAACGAAACCTTCATCAATTATTTAATTTCACAGATTCACGTAGACTTCATTAATTATCTAAAAAGCGTATTTTGTTTTTTTCTTATTTTTGATTTTCTACTCGGTCGAATAATCCTGCAATATTTATATTACGCTAATGAATTCATTGTCTTCCCTTTGGTCACATATTTTTTACGAACAGTAGAAACTATATATATATATATATATATGTATACAATTTTGGTTGAACAATATTCGAGCAAATATAATAATTAAATTAACGGGATGACAGTGTTCTCTTCTCGTATTCGAGGACAACTTTGCTATGAGCAGATCGTGCGTGTTAGGTGTTAGTAGCTGGAAAATTCAGGAGAGAGAGACAGAGATAGAGGGAGAGAAACACAGAGATGCTGATAGAAAGAGGGAGTGAAAGAGAGAGAGAGAGAGAGAGAGAGAGAGAGAGAGAGAAAGAGAGGGTGAGGGTCTCTGGAAATTTCCTAGGACAAGAACGCTTCGTAACGCGGCGCGTTGTCACGAGATACGGTCATGGGGTATGTTCGGCCTCGGGGTAGTGGCAAGCTCGAGCAGACCAGGGTGCAAACGAGCTCCCCAGGGGCTCGTATTCATGGTTTGCCCGAGCGCACGATTATTTAACTTTAATTAGAAGCATCGACCTATCGCTCGGTTTGCGCAGCCAAACTATTCTCTCACGGTGAACCACTTCCATTCTCCTTTCTCGTTTCAATTTTATATATATATATATATATATATATATATATATATATATATATATATTCTTGTAATAATGTAAAAGTCGAATGTATGAAATATGATATTTACGAATAACGAGAATTAATTTCTTCTTTTTTTTTCTCCCCTAACTTTGACCTTCCCCTCTTTACTCCATCCACCTTTTTAGCATAAGTAATAATAATGTTTCATTATAATTCAAATGAAAATGCTAAAAGCGCATTAATAACATTTCGAAGTGACGATTAATTTTTAAGAATATACCGTTTTGCTGTACTATTGAAAAGAAAAAAAAAAAAAAAAAAAGAAAAAGAATAAAAGAAGAAAAAAGAAGAGGTAGATACAGGGGTCTATACATCGAGGATCGATAATTCCACGTGTTATCCATGCTACGTCCTAACCCGCTGTTACGTGCTAGTAATCCCCGTTGAATGACGAAGTTTCGACGGTGAACGTAGTTAAAACAAAACTAAATTGCCTTTTGCTGCAGGAGCGAATAAAACGTTGAGAGTGAGTAAAGTGCTGCTGGTGATGGCTATGGTCGTTCTTGGTATTAGTGTTCGGTGGTACGTAAAGATTAAAACTCTTGCACCACAGGGAGAAAGAGAGAGCAAGAGAGAGAGAGAGAGAGAGAGAGAGAGAGAGAGAGAGGTAATAGTATAGATATTTTCAGAGTTTTAAAACTAGCAAGTCTCAGGCGGCATCCGGAAGCGTGCCAGCTCTTGAGTGGCGTTAAAGGAAACTTCTCGGGCCCCCGTAATTCCATTTTCAGCGAGACGTCGATATCGAAGAAAGTCCGATCGAGTCCGGCCACATTTTACACGGTTCGTTTTCCGGCTACGGGTCGTTCAACAGCCGATGTCTGCCAACGTCAAAAGATGCGAAAGTTTTAAGGATCATTTGATATACGACGATAT